TCCTGCCATCAAACTGACCTGTTTGATGTTTCACATACATGACATTCCATTTACTGCTTCCTTGCTTTTGTATGGGTTGTCCCCAATAGCCCACATCCTTCTGCATATATCCTCCAGTATACAATAGTAACAGTAGCACAGTGAGTGGTTTATAGTATATAGTATTTAATAATCATTCATTCAATTGAATTGAATTGAGCTTTTGAAAGATAGGGAAAAAAATTCTATTTTTTTAGTTTCGAAGGATAGGAAAAAAATTCTATTCCAAGCAGGGGGACTGCTAGTGGCAAAAGTAGATAAGTAGAAAAGGGAAAGGCATATTTGGGAAACAATGAGAAAACCAGTTTGATTGGAATAGTGCAATGGATAGAGCACTGGGCTTGGAGTCAGGAAGATCTGAATTAAAATCCTAACTTGGACACTTATTAACTGTGTGACCCTGGGCAAGTCACTTAACCCCTATTTGTTTCAGCTCCTTATCTGTAAAATGGGGACACGCTGGAGAAGGAAATGTAAGACTACTCTATATCTTTGCCAAGAAAACTCCACAGACAAAAGTTCACGGGGTCACATAGAGTTAGAAGGGGTTCTTAACCAGTTCTGCACCATGGACACTGTTGGTAGCCTATGAATCTCTTCTCAGAATAATTCTTTCAAATGCACAAAATAAAATATATAGGATTGCAAAGAAAATCAATTACATTAAAATACAGTTATCAAAATACTTTTCCCATCCAAGTCCACAGTCCTCATGAAATCTATTCACAGATCCCTTGGGAGTCCAAGGACTCCAGATTGAAAACCCTAGGAATAAAGAGTTCATATAGAGGAATAGAGGGAGATAAAGTTGGAAAAGCGGGTTGGGGTTAGGGTCTTGAATGCTAGGTGAAAGAATTTGGCATTGATGTTATAAGCAGTGGGGAATCATTGAAGGCTTATAAGTAAAAGAAGAGGCATGATGAAAGTAGCATTTTAAGAAGATTAATCTGGCATCACTGTGCAGAATTGATACAGAGGTGGTGTGTGGGTGTATGTGGTAGAGACATGGAGACTTATGGGGGATTCTAATGAAGAGGGTGTTAAAAATAGTATAGGTGTGAAGTGATAGGGATCTGAATTAAAGTTGTGGCCGTCATAATAGAAAAGAAGGGATGGATTTGAGAGAGGTTAGGCAGAATCTATTGATTTGGATGCGGGGGTAGAATAAGAGTAGAAGAATCAAAGATAACTCAAGGTTAGGAGACTGGGTGACTAAGAGCATGATAGTATCATTAACAGAAATAGGGATGTCAGGAGGAGATGCTAGGTTTTTTTGGGAAGATAATGTTTGGCTCTGTTTCTAATGCATGACATAACTTTGCCAGCTTCCTGTCCTTAGAACCTATGTATTCCCCTCTGGCCTCTGGATGCTATGGGCAGAATTCCCAGTTCCTGAGCTTGGTCCAGAACCCATCTTGGACACCATGTTGCAGGCCCAGAGGGCCTTAACAATCCAGCTGGAGGGAGGTTCATTCACCTACATTTTTGATGTAGGAGAGTGGCCTAATTATATCCTGAAGTTCGAATTGATAGGACCCCGAGGTGCTGAAAACTTCTTCCCTTTGGTTGAACAGTAGGGACTTTCCTACTTCAAATTCCTTGTTAACATGACCAGTGTGGAAATATGTTTTGCATGATTGCACTTGTATCAAATTGCTTACCTTTTCAGAAAAAGGGGAGGGGAAGGGGGGAGGAAGAGAATTTGGAACTCAAAATTTTAAAAAATAAATGTTAAAAATTGTTTATAAATGCAATTGGGAAAAAATAAAATATGACTTAAAGATGAAAAAACAAATTCCCTGTGTTGTATGCTCCTCTTGCTAGATCATTCAGACCTTTGGTATCTCTTCTGGAGATATATCTTAGGAGCAAGAGGTTGGGGGTGGTAGAAAGCAAAAGGATTGGAGATATGCTCTGATATGAGATCTGAATAAAGTATTTGTACTATATGGAGATAAAGTCTCTAGTACTTTGAAAGCCAGGAAGGGAAATTTGAAAGACTGGCCTACGGAATAAGGATTTTAATCAGGCAGGGTCCTGCTGCAGGGGTAGGCTGCCAGAAATTATAGTATCAGAGGATCATAGATTTAGATTTGATTGATGATGAATCAACATAGTTATTGAATACCTAGTATGAACTCATCACTGTGCTAGTCCAATGAGGGAAACAAAAGAAGCATGGTCTTTGCTCAAAAAGAGTTTAAAATCTAGTTGGGGAGTTTTATCTGACATACATGAAATAATTAGAGAAACATTAAATGTTAAGCTTTGAATAACTACATGAAATTTGGCATAGCAGTTTGATGTGATATGACATGAAAGGGCACTGGACAGGAACTAGGGAGACGTGAGTTCTAATGTTGGCTCCCCCACTGATTTGGTAGGCAATTTTCCCTGTCTGGGCCTCAGTTACCTCATCTATAAAATGAAGAAGGTTGGATTAGAAGGTTACCATGGTTCCTTCTAGTAGTAGTTTAATTAAATGCAGCTTAATTCAACAAACATGTACGAGCTGTGTACTAGGGGATAAGACATGGCCTTTGCCCTCATGGAGACTCCAGTCGACGAAGAGAAGACAACTATAATTTATAATACTATCAAACTGTATTAGAGAGACATAGAACAAAGCACTGTTTCCAGGGCTCTAGGTCACATGTGGCCTTCTAGGTCTTTTGACTGAGCCCAAGTTTTACAGAATAAATCCTTTAATTAAGGGGATTTGTTCTGTGAAGTTTGGATTCAGTCAAAGGGCCACACTTATGGACCCAGAGTGGCCTCGAGGCCGCAGGTTCCCCACTTGTGGTTTAGTGGAATGGAAAAGGACCAAAGAAGAGGCATTTGAGCTAGGATATAAAGGATGGGTAGGAACTGAGCAAACAAAGAAAGAGAGGGAAGACGTTTACAGGGAGAGAAAACTGTGAACATAGCTCCAAAGATGAGAAAAGTCTAGGAGGCAAAGTAGCTAAGTCTACCTGGAGTGTAGAGGATGTTAACTTGAAAAGGTAGGTGCCAGCCATATTGTGGAGGGCTTCAAATTCCAGGCAAAAGAGATTAAACTTTATTTGAGAGGTAAATAAGAGCCATTGGAAATTTGTGAACAGAAAAAGTGGCATGCTTAGACTGTGATTCAATGATATGGGTTTGAATCATCTCACTGATACTGTGTGAATTGGAATGCCACTTAATCTCTCTGACTCTAATTTCCTTATCTGTAAAATGGGAGTAATAATACTTGCATTATCTACATCACAGGGTTGTTAGGAAGATGAGAAAGAAAACTTTAAGTGATATGTAAATGTGAATTATTATTCTGGAATTCAGAGAAGAGACAGATCCCTTAGGATTATTGTTGTTGCAGAAGGTTTCAGAAGAGAGGCATTGAAGGAAAATTCGAACAGGGCATTGAAGGAAAGCACTTTGTAAACCTTAAAGTAGGGATTCTTAATTTGGGCTCTGTAAACTTGTGTTTCTTAAAAATATTTTGATAATTGTATTTCAGTAAAATGTTTCCTTTGTAATAATAATATACCTGTTTTACAATTTGAAAACATTTTGAGAAGGGATCTACTTTGTCAGAATGCCAAAGGGGTCCATGATACATAAAATGTTAAGAACCCCTAACAAAGTGCTTTGTAAATGAACATTTTCTAATTGATAATAGGCATCAAAGTGGACAGAATGTTGTACTTGGAATCAGAAAATCCTAAGTTCAATTCCTATCTCGTATACTTCCTAGCCGTTTGACCCTGGGCAAGTCATTTAACCTTTGTCTGCTTCACTATCCTCATCTGTAAAATGGAGATAATAGCACCTTTCCTCCGGGGTTGATGTGAGGACAAAATGAGATATTTGTAAAGGTTTATAAATCTTAAAGCGCTATATAAATGATAGATAATAATACGAATGATACATCTATTACTATTCCTTCTGGTAATAGTCCTATTTAAAACATTTATATTCCTATTTCTCTACTATTAACATTTTTTACACCTATTCCTACTTCTATTATTCCCTTTTCTGTTACAATTCGTCCTACTACTAATACTAATAATGTTAAGAAATTGGATAGCCCTAACGGTCTGGAAGACAGTTCACCGTATTCTATATCCAGTAGGCAGGTGACGAGGACAGGCAAGAGTCGGCAGGTGCCGGGCAGGGCGCAAGCCTCTTTTGGAGGGCAGCAGGCTTCACTACCCAGCAGCTCTTCAGTGACCTCTGGCGGCTGCGGGGCGGGGTGCAGGGAGGAGGAGCTGAGTTGAACTGAGAGGTTCTGAACTAAGAGGGGTGGATGAAGGAGGTGCCCTAAGGACAGAGGCCACTGAGCTCCCAGGTCTAGGGCGGAGCGCGGAGCAAAGAACCAGCCTCTGTAGGGAGGAGAAGCCAGCCTGAGAGGGGGCGTGGATTTGTGGGGGGCTGAGGGTGGGGACCAGCGCTCTGGAGGCGGGACTATATGGGGGCGTGGCTAGGTTGAGGGTCTGTAGGGGCTGGGCTTTAGTTTGGAACTCCGTCCTTGCTGGCTCCAGGGGCTATTTCTTTCCCCCTCCATCCCTCGATACCCCCTTGCAGTCTCCAAGAGTTTGTTTTAGGGCTCAAGTCTTCCTCTACCCCAAAATGGGCGGACAGACCTGGGCCGGGGCGGAGGCGGAGGTAGGGTGGGGGTGGGGGCGGGGGCGGGAGCTGTGGGGCTGGGATGGGGCGGGGTAGGGCGGTCCCAGCTGCAGCCGGGAGCGCAGCCTGGCTCGGCGCCTTCTGCCTCTCTGGGGCCGGGCCAGGCGCTGCTAGAAATAGCAGGAGCCGGGTGCCGAGCCGCGGATTTTCTCCGCGTGTAACTGGGCTCGGTGCCCGGCCGCGGGACCGGGTGGGAGGGAAAAGGAGTTTGGGGGATCGGAGGTTGGGAGGATTGGGGGCACGGAGGCGCTCCTCACTTGCTTTCTGTGTCCCTCCTGCAGAAGTTTGCTTCGTCTAGAGCCTTACCCTCTACTGGGAACAGCCGCTGTCCAGGATCGTGGCGAGGGAAGCATTCAGCCCGGGCTCTGGTCCCTCCAGGGAGGACGGCGGCCCGGGCAGAGCATCGAGCACAGGTGGAGGCTGTGTATGTGTGTGTGTGTGTCCATATGTCCATCAGTGCACGCGAGCGATCCCTCGGGAATGTGTGTTGGGGGCGTCTAGTGTGCAGGGACACGTGAGGGTTTCAGTGAGGGGTGCTGTAAATGCACACAGGCTTATGTGAGAGATGAGTATGCATGCAGTGATTGTGTGTGTGTATGTGTATGTGCAGGATTATTTGAGAGTTTGAGGAGCGCTGTGTGTGCACGCTGGCTTAATGTGGGGGTGTAGGCAAATAAGGGGAGGGGTGGTTGTTCCTATTTGGATATGTAGGTGAGTGAGGGTTGTTCTTTGATTTTTTTTTTTTTTGGAGGTGGTCTCCAGACCTGTAATTTCATTGTTGTAAGGAACTCCCAATCAGGAAACTATTACTACCAGTGTAGATAGGCAACTATTCTGAAACTTACAGTCTTAAGAGAGTGGCCTGAGGCACCTAAAGGTTAATCCATCACAAAGCCACCGTGTCACAGGCGTCCTGGTCTTACTGATTCTGAGGCCACCTTTCTGCCTCAGCTGCCTCTCAGGATCATAGATTTAGAGCTGGAAATTCTGTCCAACTATTTCACTTGAGGCCCAAAGAAATGAAGTGACTTGCCCAAAGTCACAAAGGTAGCAAGCAGAAGAGGTAGGACTTAGGACTTAGAACTTGATTTTCTTTTTACTATACCTTGCTGCCTCCCTATAGGTGTGAAAGGCTTTGAATGACTGTATTATGTGTGTGCTCATCCTTCAGGGTCAACATTCATCTTGGGGGCCGTGTCAAGATTGATGGTTGGGACCAAGGGGCAGTTACTTGGGGGCTCCAGATCCCCATAAATGCCTCAGCATTTCAAGAAGCTTAGGCGTTAATGCTAGTGTCTTCCATCTAAGATTATCTCCAGTTTATTCTGTATATCTTGTTTGTACATAGTTGTTTTCCTGTTGTCTCCCCCATGAGACTGTGAGGTCCTTGAGAGAAGGGATTGTTTTTTGCCTTTCTTTGTATCCCCAGCACTTAGCACAGTGCCTGGCATGTAACAGGTCCTTAATAAATGCTTGTTGACTTGACTTGAGGGGCTACAGTCCAGTATCTATTGTTCCCATACCACTGAATAGCAGTTGGAGTGTGAAACATCCTATTTTCAGAGTTAGGAAGCTACAACTTAACTGAATTAAAAAATAATAAAATGGTTCTGTATGGTTTGGATTGCAGGTTCCAGTTGAAAATGGTCCAGAAATATCAGTCTCCAGTTCGAGTCTACAAGTATCCATTTGAGCTGGTCATGGCGGTAAGTACAGACGTGGCTGTATATGGATATGTGTCAAGTGAAAGAAGGTGACCATTTCTGATTCCCTCTCTGGGAAGAGAAATCCTAGAAATCAGCTTTGGACATGCAATCTATTATTTATATATTTATTAAATCCCTGTCAGCTAAACCAAGAAGCTTAGCTGCCCTTGAGACTTTTTGTTATCCCTGAGCATCCTAATGGAATTTGAGCTAGGCTGTGGTGAAGGCAAAGTGGTCAGGTGATTTGGGCATTGGTATTCAGTTTCCAAGTCTTGGTTACCATTTTAGGATCTTGAGTAAATTGAATACTCTTTCCTCAGTTTTCCTATCTTTGAAATGATGATAACAGGGTTAAAAACAAATACTGGTGATTTTGCTGGGGGGTACACTAAGAATTGTTGCTTGGATGAGAGTTAGCTTTTGCCCAGTACTGTGCAGTATTAGAAGAGTATTAAAGCTTTTGACTCTTTGTATAGAGATACTCTTAGTGTGTGTGTGTGTGTGTCTCTCTCTCTCTGTCTGTGTGTGTGTGTCTGTGTATGTGGCGGGGGAGGGACAAGGGAAGAGGAGAGAGGAGAGAGGGGAGGGGGAGAGAGGGGGGAAAGGAGGCAGAGGGAGAGAGAGAAGTGAAAGGGGGGAAGGAGGGAGAGAGGGAGAAAGGGAGAGAGGAGAGAGGGGAGGAAGGAGAGAAAGCATGAAGAGGGAGAGGAAAGAGATGGACTGAGTGAGGGAGGGAAAGAGAGAGAAGGACTGGGAGAGAGAGGAGAGAGGAGGGAAAGGGAGGGAAGTAGGTGGAAAGATGAAGTTGTGGTGTTTATTCAAAATGATGTTCTCTTCCTTTCCCTCCCCCCCACCTCTCCCCCTCTGTCTTTTCCTTCTCCCTCCTTTCTCCCTCTCTCCTTCCTTCCCCCCTCTCTCCCTCTCTTTCCCTTCTCTCTCCTCTCTCTCCCAGTCCTTCTCTCTCTTTCCCTCCCTCACTTCTCTCCTCTCTCCCCTCCCCTTGCCCCTCCCCCGCCACATACACAGACACACACACACAGACAGAGAGAGAGAGAGAAGTGAAAGGGGGGAAGGAGGGAGAGAGGGAGAAAGGGAGAGAGGAGAGAGGGGAGGAAGGAGAGAAAGCATGAAGAGGGAGAGGAAAGAGATGGACTGAGTGAGGGAGGGAAAGAGAGAGAAGGACTGGGAGAGAGAGGAGAGAGAAGGGAAAGAGAGGGAGAGAGGGGGGAAGGAAGGAGAGAGGGAGAAAGGAGGGAGAAGGAAAAGACAGAGGGGGAGAGGTGGGGGGGAGGGAAAGGAAGAGAACATCATTTTGAATAAACACCACAACTTCATCTTTCCACCTACTTACCACCTTTCTTTTCCCCACCCTGCCCTATCCTATGTATCAGAATCTTGATGTATGTATACGTGTGGTTTTGGGGGAAAAGGTGTCATTCTTAAACTTTGAAAGATGTGATAACTTGCCATTCTAAAGGTTATAGATCTGGAACGGGGCCTTCGAGGTTTTCTTGTCCAGTCCTTTCTTAGAATCATACAATCTCTGAGTTGGAAGGGACCTTAGAAGTGCCAATTCATACCAAAACTAGAAATTTCCTTC